CGCCCGCAAACCCACCGCGGGCAGGGAGAGGCGGGCCCCCTCCGCGGGCGGTCATGGCGGCGCGGCCGGCGCAGGCGCAGGGTGGGAGGCGGCCGAGGGCGGCGGCGTGAGGGAGGCTCCGGGGCGGAGTGAAGGGGGGACGCTGCGGGGCCAGGCGTGCTGGCACTCACGGGCAGGAGGCGAGGAGTCGTCGCCGCTTCGCTGTGCTCGTCCTCTTGCCGGGTCTTGTCGCCTTCATGGCGGAAACCCCCTCTCCTGAGGCGGTGCCGAGCACGGGGGTGGCGAACGCTGTCCCTCTGGGCGGCAGAGCTCGGCCGGGCGGTGGTTTCTTGGTTTCGGCTGTGGAGCCTTCGTGCTGCTCCCTTGTTGCCCGAAGCTCCGTGCCCCAGGGGTGAGAGGCCACCAGGCCCGGCCACGGCCGCAGCCACTAAACCCTGCCTGCGCAGCACCAAATGGCCGCAAATGTGCAGCTCGCCCAGAGCTGAGAGTTGGGTAGAAAAAAACCCAGACTGCCCGGCTCACCAGTTTCTTCAGGTGTTTCATCCACCTCAGTGAAGCAGCATTACCTCCTTTGTCCACAGCACTTCAGAGGCCCTTCAAAATTGAGGGGCGATATGCTTTTTTCCGTAACCGTAGCTTACGTAAACTTTGTATTTCAAATAACACATGGACTGGAGTTAGGCAAAAAATAGCTCAAATAGTTCGACTATATACAGAAAACAGCCAAGGTTGGTGTTTGGGCTTCGAATGTGGTGATGGTTTCAACACAAATGGAGGACACCAACGCTTCAGGACCATTCACTGCGTGATAACATGAGCACGTGGAAGTTAGCTTACAGAAACAACATTGTACAAAGATTGAATCTAAATGACAAGTGCTATGAAAATCATAAATGATTACACTTAATAAGGTGATACTTTAATGACAACAATGCGATCAGCAAAGTTGCACGTGGTTGATAAATGACTGTGTCCTACGAGCAGTCCCTTTCTGTTCACAGGTGGTCTCTGAGTGATGAAGTGCCTTATTCAAATTATTTCACCCTGACTTAGTGCTCGGTGGTGTTCACATTTCATGCATCCTAGTTTGAGACCCATGCACGGAAATGAGGCTTTTTTTGTCACTACTTTATAGAAGTCCAGTACTGTGGATGTAAAAGAGTAGTTGAAGAGTAATGGCATATTTTACCAACTGACGTTGGGTGGCTATGTGACTTCGGTTCATGTTACTGACTTTATCTCTGTTTCTCCATCTATAGGTAGTGATAATACATCGTTGTCCAAATAAAGGCAGAGAACACTGGATTTTCAGCAAAAGCCCTCCATAGATGAGGAAAGAACAGGCAGGCTGGGAAGCCATTAACTTTCTTTTGCTTATCATCTTAGGTTGCACGTACGTGTTTAAGTACAACAAAAAGTCAGCAAGTGGCTAACTAAAGCTAATCAAAGCAAAAAATACAGATTTCTTAGGCAGTTTCTCCCCCGGCTCAGTATTGTGCTTCAGGTCCTTGGGACAGAAAGGACCCAATAAAAGGGAGTTAACTAACTGCACAGGATTTATCATCGTCAGTGTTCTGTAAGGCTAGTATGACATAAAACATTCAGCTCTGGCAAAATTTAACCTTCTCCAGTTCAAATATAACCTTCTCCAGTGTGTAACGTAGTCTTTTAATTTAGATAGCAAGACAAGAAAGAAAAAGATATGCCGAAAAGCAGTAGTGAAGGAAATCTGGAAGAACGGCATATGAATTATCTTACTGCTCTCCAGTATAATTTTTGAGTATTTAGTCAGTTATTTACAATGATGAGAACTCTACTCAGACCAGATTTTTATGAAATGAATAAAAAATGTACTTGAAATGAGTACTAATTAAAGACATTCTTCATGAAAGTCCTTTGAAAAAAGGGCTAGAGCCTCAGAAAGGACATTTTGAAGCAGCTGTGGATTATGTTAAAAACCAGATTGCATTCAGTTTACAATACTGCTAAAAAGAGGTAGTATAAACATTGTCTTGCAAAGTGGATCAATTTAACCATCTTTTAAAAATACTTGAAAGAGGAGAGAATTTTAATACATAGACATATTATTTAAAGAAATTCTGTGTCAAGTGTTTATTAAAACTGTAGGTTATTAAAGTGGAAATAACTTTAAAAAATCATATAAACAGCTTTGGGGGAAAAAGGAGTTATTTTCACATTCTAACAATATTTGAATTAGTAATACTACAAGGAAATGTTTGAAATTTATTTTTAAATTATATCTTGTTTGGAAATAAAGATAAATTGTTGTTTCTTTTGAGTTTTGTAAGTCCTCTATCTCAATGCCATATCTAAATTTTAGAACTAGTTGAACTTTTGCTGATCTGTTGCTTTGTTTAATTGGTTTCTTGTTCACCCTAGACACAAACAGTGTAATAGAAATATGAGGTACCAAGTGTCTGAAAGTAGAAAGGGAATCCTGGTGCCTGAAAACATTTTTTTTCCCGAATAACCAGTACACTCAGAGATGCCTGGCAGTTTTCAAGAGGGAAAAAGGAACTTGTGTGACTACATTCATGTAAAGTCCATGAAATTATTATTTCTTTCTTCTCTCAGAGGAGTAAGCATGTGCATTTAGCCCCCTAAGTAATGTAGTTTACATTACTAGTGTGGAGAAGTTGTGGCTGCAGATCTAATGATACATTTGAGTAACTTTCCAAAAGTTTTTGAAGGATTGAAATTTTGATTGATTATGTGTAAACACATAAACCAGCTACATAAGTGAGCAAATCATACAAATTTTTGACTGGGCTGTATTTTAGACTTTGCTAATACACTCATCTAGCAACAGGAATTAAGTTGTCTTTTTTAGCTAGGGAACTGAAAAGAATTAACTGGAAAATGAATTGGGTTTTTTGTGAGGCAATGTGAGAAAGGTCCCCTTGGACCACTTCTTTTTGCACTGCTTACATCTTCATGCTTGGCTGAGGGATAGATTTGTTATCTCCAGCAAACCGTAGTGGAAAGAGTTTGGCTGTGCTGTAATAACTGAGACTGAGCTCTGCAGAACATGCATAGTCTGTTGCATTCTTAAAACGCGCCAAATTAATCCCTTAAGTAATACGACTAAAATGAAACAGGGATGAGTTTTAGTCCAGTATGTCTAAGAAAGTATCCTTTTATAACCCCAAGGATTTATTTATTATCAGTTCTGAACTATTGGTTTTGCAAAGGTAGCACCCAAAGATAGTAAACGTAGATAGGATTTTTAAGTAATTTCTTTACCCGCTGCCTTCCTTTCAAACACATGGGTGTTTTGGAAATAGGTGTGTTGCTAATCTGTTGAACTAAGGACTTTTGTCTCAAGCCATTCATGTGTATCCCTCTAAAACTGCCTTTGCTTTCCATTCCCAGGCACTTAATGAGGGAGCCACCTTTGACGTGACATCTAATGAGAATCGTGCTAACTGCCCTTGTTGGACTTGAGGTACAATGTACACATTCGACTCATGTCCTTGGTAGCTCAACTGTATAGATGTTGATCCGGTTTATAGTAGCAGCTGTTTGTCTGCTTGTCTACCCTGACACTATGAACTCAGTTAGACAAGGGCCAGTACGGTGTTGAGAGCAGAGGTACCTCAGTGGAAATACGTGATCTGTTTTGTGAAGTAGCTGAGTGATTACACTACATGGTGTCATGATGGTAGACTAGGTGAATCCAGTGAGTAGCTGGATATTTCAACCTTTATTTTGGTGTCTGTTTTTATTATAGAGTCATACAGGGTAGATTAAAGTAACTTCATTTTCCACCAGTTTAAAATGAGACATTGGAGGAAAAAGGACAGCTGGTGTATTTCATAATGAACCATCTGGCATTTCTTGGTAGATCCTCTGATTCCTAATTTACTACTGAATTGTGACAGCATGAAAATCAAAATTATTGATTGTGTGGAATCAGTGTTTCCCTCTGGCACATTTTGTGCTCCTTCAGTTTCTGTCAAAGGATAGTCATAAGAGGGGTAAGGACCTCTCACACTGAGCTTTGCAAAGCTTGAAAGTCATCTGTACCATTTGCCTCTTTTTTTTTAATCGTGCTGCTTGACATTTATTCTGGAAGACCGACTTTCCAGATGATCACATCTGATCTGAACCTTACAGAAAGTGGCACTAATCGGTTTTAAGATTCCACGAGGGAACTCCTGTGTTAGGTTCGTATTCTGTTTCATTCCCTTTCTTTTGTGGCTCTTTTTTAAACTTCCACTGCTAGGAGTTCAAGAAATAAACTACCTAGCTAGCTGGAAGTTGAGATTAAAAAAACACAGATGCAGTAGAGGATTAAGTAGTCAAGTAGGAGACTACACATACAGTTGCAATTGATTTTAAAATTCTCTAAATAAAGCATATCTTTGCTTTAACTAGATAGCACATAACCATGCACCTACCACTAAATCTGCCTTTAGAATCAACTTCTTTTAGTGGCTGGATGAAAAAGATGTTGGACTTACGAGGAAAGCACCTGCACACCAGCAAGTACATGACACCTCCATCTTGCTGCCAAAAAGGATTATGAAATGTGATTTCTAAATGAGAAAATTAAAAAAAGAAAGGGAAAGATTTTTTTTGAAAGAGGAAGTGGAAGTTGAGTAAATCTGAGCTAGAAAAGCATAGGATTAGAAACGGTAGGAGTGGGGTAAGGTATAGAGAGAATGTAATAAAACAGTAGATAAACAGGGAGAAGAGTGCTAGACAGAAATCAGACCAAAAAATTGGCAAATTTCTTCAGAAAATCACCCTTAAAAGAAGAAAGGAGAGGTGAAGACAAAACACAGTAATGGGAGACTTCTCTGTGGTTCAGACTGACTGAAGAAACAGTGGAGGGTCATCTTCAGCAGTGCTCCTAGGAAAAGTAGAGAGAGCCTTGAACTTTGAATGGTGACAGTGATCAATTGCAAACTAGAATCCAAAGCTGAATCTGAATTAATGTTGCTGTTGGAATCTGAATTAATGTTGCTGTTGGGCAGTGACTGGCTCCTAGGTTCAATTTCTTGTGCTATGGTCATCCATTAGGGCGTAACATCTCTGCTTAATAGCGTCAAGGTGGCTCCACAAAGTGTGAAGCCTCAGAATAACTTGCTATGTCTTTTTTTCCTTGGGTGATTCATAGAATCATAGAAAAAACCCTTAAGATCATCGAGTCCAACCGTTAACGTAGCACTGCCAAGTCCACCACTAAACCATGTCCTCAAGCACCACGTCTACCCTTCTTTTAAATACCTCCAGGGATGGGGACTCAACCACTTCCCTGGGCAGCCTGTTCCAATGCCTGACTACCCTTT